CAGGCAATCCAGCTACCACTTACCTGTGCAACACTTATGTTACAACCTATATAATCGGCAAAGGAGAGTCAATGTCAGTTAAAAAAATATATATAAATGGGGGGAAAAAAGGAAAAGACCACTAAAAACTACTACCCTGGAAATAACATTTCATGACTAAAATAACAGCTGATCAAGAAAAGCATTTATGCTCTCTTTGACCTATCAAGACTATCTATGCCACACTTACAAAGGCATTTTTAATACTCATAACCATGTTTCATGAAAGCTATAAATTATATGTCCTATTTAGAAGCACGCAAATTTCTGGGCAAGGGGGAAGGTATGTTCAAAAGGATCCTAGACTTGGTTTTCTATGTTAGCATTGTTAAACATCAGCTTTATGACTGTAAAAACTGAGGAACCAGAAATTACTGCACTACCTACTAAAAGTCTGCAAACCATGGTAATTGTTAGACAATCATAGCTTGAAGTACTGCACTGTCAGAGGAGTTTTTAACATATAATATAATTTTGAAATACCCATAGCCTCTATGCTCATAATGGTCTCACATTTAAAGCTTACACCCAGTATTTACTGATGAATTATTTCAAGAGCTAAGGTCATGTGAAGGTACTTGATATACTTCTCATTAATTTACTCACTTGTAAAATTCGGATATTCTGATTTAGGCATTAAGAAAATAGTTCTCTACAGCATTTTTAATCCTCAATATCTATGCAAACTGGGTATGCTGAGTGCTATCAGTGAACACTGCACAGGTGTTAGGTCTACACACACATAAGCTTTTGTGTAGCAGTGGTTTGACAAGTCTAAAATTCAGCAGAAGATTACCCTAGAAGGCAAGAGAAGAAAATTTACCAAAAACTGTGTCAGAAAAAGAGAACACTGAATAAGTTCTGCTTTGTGTTATGGTGAAGTGTGAGAGAATTACACTTTTCTCAGAGCATAAAACAAAATCTAGGAACACTACACTAGGAACCCATGTTTCTTGGTATCCGGCAATCAACAGAAATCCCAGAGACAGACAGTACTATTACCAAGTTCTATGAAAGCAATTATTTTAACTGACCTGTAAACCGAATACAAAATAGCCACTAACACTTTGTTCTGCAATCACATCCTCCATGGTGCGCAAGGTAGTGCCCAAGTATGAGTTCAGGAGCTGAGTAGGGAGCAGCCCAAGTGAAGAAGCCATCAGGTAGTTGGGTAGTGATAAATCTGTAATCTGAGTAAAAAGCAAGAGTAAGAAATCAAAAGGAGCTGCAACACAAACAACCAAACTACCACTTCCCACAACCATCTCTGCAAAATCATGAAAGAATATCCTACATTCCTTCACTGAAACTGATTCATGCACAGGGGAAAGACAATAGAATGAAACAGTATATATCTAGTTTTCATCTGGCCTTTTTAAAGTTACTGGGCTTGATTTAATTTCACCTTTCATTACGCAACATCTCTGTGCAACAGTCATTAACTAGGGGTGCAATTACACTGTTCACAGGAGATATTTATTTTTACCTGGTAAACAGAGCCCTTGGATTTATGAGAATTTACTTATGAGAAGAAATTACTTTACTGAATGTGAAGGTTGAATGCAAAAATATATCTATTTTTCATTTTACATATATGGTAAATAATACAAGAGATAATTGGTCAAAATGTCACTGTGTTAAATATGATGCAGGTAAACAGAATGGCAGATACAATTTGTCTGTGCTGGGCAAGTTATGAGTTTATTAAGATACACGTCTTTCAGTGATCCCTATGAGCAATATCCATCTATATCTATACTGATATATATAAGTATCATTGTCTACCAAAGGTATTTTGCATCTCACTTCAATTAGTGAACAAAATAGCACACACAGCTACAGGTTTTATTAATTTCTCTGGAGAAAATACTAATAATACTTGGTGTTTTTCTTCTTTGCTGTGAAGTTCCTGTACTGCGTCAATAGATGGACGTATGAGCTTACACAGGAACAAAGTACACAGTACCAGCTAAATTAGTATCAGCAGCCATCAGAAAATATTAAAGGTAAGTGCCATGAGAGCAAAAGATATTTACACAAGAGAAAAGAAAACAAGAGGAAACTGGGTCAAAAATTAGTGTGAAAACAATGATTTTGAAAACAAGCAGTCCAACAAATTTTCCAGACAATTCAGTTGATAATAACAGATCTAATTAAGAATAGCCTACATGGAACAACACTGAGAGCCTACATGGAAATTATTGACCTTGCCAGTTTTGTACAATGTTGAAGACCAAAGAATAGCAGCAATGTTACTCATTTCATCATGCTATTCTTAAAATAAACTTTAGTTACTGTGAAAGTCAGAGGGCTGAATTCTCAGAGCTCTAAGCATCATCAGTGGAAAGTTTTTGGGAGGAAGGGCAATGGAGGAGCAGAATGCAATGAAGCATAAAGATTAAGAATAATTCACTGGAACAAGATCCAATAAGCCGTTTCCAAACTTCACACTGCATATTATACTTCCCACAGACTGAAATATATACCAGCATCACAAATATTATATTTCCTTCTCTAGACAAGATTAATTTAGATTTATAATGAAAAAGGATTACATAATTATGTCAGAACATCACATTTGACCAATACTTTCAAAAGACTTTTTAAAGCATTGTTGTAATCTGGGCCATGTAATAAGAATGCACAGTCCAAACTTCCCATATTGCCAAGGGAATGAAGGAGCTGCTATTAAAAGTTTCTGAAATACTAACGCAGAGGCAAGATTTGCTAAGTAGGACACTATCATTACATCTAATGGAGCTGGGAAACTTCCCAAAGATTGCTTTAACACTCCTGGCACCTCTCTCATTTCTGTAGCTGTATTAAGGACACTTGAGCTGCAGAACAACATGTCTGCACACCTGGATGTGTCCTGAAACAACTGGACCCCCTGAGTCACAAACAAGATTGTTTCCAAATGAAGGGGAGACTGCCCCAGCGGATACACTGAATAGCAGCTTGTTTTCCCACTGCAGTGAAAGCTAAGGAGAGGGTGAAAAACTTTTTGAGATGTCCTTTTAATTATACTGTAGGTTTAGAGCTACAGTTGTATCCCTTTCCCCAAAATGCAAGGGAAGTGGACACCATCCCTGACTAAGAAACTTGAGAAAAAATAAAACTTACAGATTTCCATACTTTCTTTCTAGGAACTTAACCTGTTCTATGAACCTGCCAGACTGGTATCTGCATGGCCAGGCTGCCTAAAAGAGCCTACCAGGGCTCTGTTTCTGGTAAAATCTCAAGCCAGCAAAAATTAGAAAAAAAACCAAAACCAAGCATGGATGCAATTGTGCTATGGGCCATAATAGAAATGCACTTAAATTGTATTCAAACACAATTAAGAACTACCTAATTGCACTGATAATAATAACCAGAAACTCCCCCATAAAGCCTTGGACGAACTTTGTCCCATAGAACTTTTGTGCATTCTTTGCAGCTGGCACCTTCGGTTCAGCACTGTCAAAGAATAAATGCTTCTGTCAGGACTTTTCTGGGGGCTCCCATGCCTTCAGGGGTTGCAGTACAATTTCTCTTCCCCCAGTTTACAAATCCCTGTGCTTCAGATCAGGTGGGCCTAGTGACCAAGGGTAAAAGAGAACTCTGGTGCTTTTTCCTCAAAAAAAAGCCCAAAACAAAACTCCCCCCCCGCCAAAAAAAAGCCAATACCACCTCCTCAAAAAAAAAACAGTAAATACAAGAAAACCAAACTAGCTGCCAACTTTCCAATGGAGGAAGCAGTGTGCATGTTCTTGGTACCATTTCTTCAACTCTGACATCATTGTATGCATTTCTGAACCCAGAGGTGCACACTTGAATACTCAGATTTTTTAATCAGATTCTTTAATGTAATATTCCCCTTAAAGAAGTAGGAAAAAGTATGAAATCCCATCTAACCTACATCTGGCACTACAAATAACCAGTTTGCACAAATCTCAGTCCAAGAACAAACTCGTGGGAAGGAGATGATAACCTGCATACCAGGCCTCCTTACAGACCTGCCTTCAAAACACTCCAGAGCTGCCAAGGTGAGAGAGCTGTGCGTGGGCAAACACATCAGTAAGAGCTATCAACCCACCCCAGGAGCAGGTCACTCTGGCATCAGAAGTGATAATTAAGCAAAACTCACTCAAAAGAGAAATACAAACATGCTTTCAGTTAGCAAGTGCTATATTCCAGAAACGCAAGCAAATGCATTACCTCACCCCTTTACTAGCAGCAGAACAACCTTCTAAGAAGCAAGATCTTCATGTCTGGCTGGTGAGATGCTAAGAAATTTATGTTAATTTTCTTCTTGTGCTGTTTCAATTTATATGACTGAATTTATATGATTGAATTTATATGACCTCACTAATCAAATCCTAAGAAGCCCTTTCATCTTTCTCTACACCCCCTACAAGTCAACCTCCTGAAAGCCCTCAGCAGATGGTATATGCCACCAAATAAGTGCCTGTAGAAATAATTTAATCCCAGTCCTGCAGATGACCCTGCTCACACCAAGGTTATGCCTTTCTCTGAACCTCAGGTGTCACTTCCTTCCGTCTCATTTAAGTATTCTCAGTATCTCCAGTTTACATAAAAATATCCACACAGGAAACATCCATAGACTAGACCACTGGAAAATTAAAGATGTGTACTTTTTCTTAAGATCACTGTTGTTTAAAAATTAATATTTTTCAAATTCATTGCTGAAGTTGCTAGCATGGGGAAATGCATTTTAAAATGAGTGTTAAGTTTTCAAATAAGTGAGAAATGACAGCTTGGTCTGTGTAGGCTGAAAACTGTATTTTTTACATAACTTAAACTTGACTCAAAATGAGAAACTTGAATTCCTAGATTTGTATGCATCACTTTTCAGTGATCTAGTAGCTCATATTAAATGTTCTCAATGAAAAATTTGGTGTACACTGTGCTTTATTTGACTGTGCTATAAAGTAGTAAATCAGGACTAATAAACATAACCAAACTAAAATTAGCAAAAAAAAATCCAAGTTACTTGGCATAACTCAAGCATCTGGTTTCATCTCATTTCCTATCTATTATTTTAACACTGAAACCATCCACTTGGAAACAAAATTATTTAGCCTGCAGAATATGGAGAATACAAACCACAATGATTTACAGCATCATTTTAATATTGAACTGGCCCGAACAGTCTGCTGAATCGTTTTTCTAACAGAAGGGTTATGCCAGGAAGGAAATAATTTTAACTTGGTAATTCTATGGTCTGTTCTTCAGATCCAATACTACTCTATATCATCTGCTGACTACTGCAAGTGACACCCTGAAGCTGTGAGCAACCAGAGCACAACAGCTCTCCCCACCTTAGGAGGGTCACAGCGCAGCAGAAGCTTCATCTGCTACACTGGACCTTGGGCTCCAGGAGGGATTCTGCTCCCAGATGAACAGGACTTAGCCTCTTCAGTCCTGCAGTAATATAGGTTAACAAATAAAACGGCAAAGGTTCAGCTCTTCAGTTTCTCATTCTTAACAAGGAAACGGTTAAAGGATCTGCTTAAAAAGAAATTGCAAGTTGCTATAGCTCTTATGGATAGAGATTACAGCTCTGGAGATGAATGCTCCAGTACACACAGCAATTTAAAATATTTGGTGTGGATGTTACACCCCAAAACCGCGTGGATTAAATTTTACTTTAAAAAAAAATTTAGTATTCAGTGACCTATTAATTGCAGCCAGATGATTGTGTCAAAATTAAGCAAGTGCTTCAAAAGGGTACAGGATCAGGACTGCAGACAGGGAAAGAAAGGTGGGCTATAAGAAAGTGGCAGACCAAAACACGTATTTAGACAGTTAAAGAACATACAAGTTACTGGTAACACTTAAAGTATGTCACAATCCAGTTTGCTTTGTTTAGATTTCATCAAGTTCGTAGATACAACTGAGGCACAACACAGCCAAAATCAGATCCCTCAAAGTACTCGGGAAGCAATGAGGGTCTGAAATTGTCATCAGCAACGTGACAATACTCAAAAAACTACCTTCCATTTTCTTCTTCACTTTTTCCTTTAAGATGATCAAAGAGACCAAATTAATGGACGAATCTTAACCTGAAAGTAGAAAGAAAAGCAAGACTAACCCTTTTCCAGACTCAAGTTTAAACCAACTTTCAGTGCCACTCTAAAGCACAGTCCCTTTTCAGGTCTGAGGCTACATCCTGCTCTGCCCAAAACCTGCAACCTGTCTTACGTGCACGGACTTAGTATCATGTATGGATTTGCCAGATGCATGGTACAAACACCAGCCACACCGAGAAAGAATTTTAATCTGTCCACTTCTTTCTTTCCAGTATGATTACTTATATTAAGTAGTTTAGGGAGATCTGGCAACAGTTTTCCTCAACTCTTGCCAGGTTTTAAAGTGGATCACTTTAAAAGCACAGACACTTCATAACTGTTGAGCTCTCCATAGATTTTGCTATGCAGAACATTGGTGATTCTAACACCAGAATATAGTCGTGAAAGACGAGAGAGCAACTCTAACATAACAAGGCATCTCAAAAATCTGCCTGCTGTCCCCCTGCATGCACAGAAGAGCAAGCAGAGAGGGTTGTTTTCACTGCTGTTAAAAAAGAGAGAAACCACGGCTTGTTCCCAGGAAAGGAGGCAACTTCTACCAATAAGAGCAGCCACTATGCCAAAAGACATCTTTCCAGCACTTGTCTTCCTTGGCCGCACAGCCCAGGCAGGGACTCACCGCGAAGACGGCGTTCTGCACCCCGAAGGGGATCAGCGTCAGCCGCGATAGAAACACCACCTTGAGGCCGCTGCCGCCCTCCACGACACGGACGATGGCACTGAGCGTCCCGCTGCCCTGGATCCTGGCCCGTGCCCAGCGGGCCAACAGCCGCTTGCAGGCCACGTGGGCGACGAAGGTGCCGACGAGGACGCCGAACACCATCAGCCCCATGCCCAGCACGAAGCCGTAGAGGTAGCCGGCGGCCACGTTGAGCAGGATGTAGCCCCAGCCGCACGGGAAGGACACGACGATGAAGCCCACGGTGAAGAGCAGCACGCCGGCCAGGCTGTCCAGGCTCTCGGCCCAGAGCAGCAGGTCCCGCAGGTACTGGCGCACCACGGCCAGCGAGGCGAAGCAGACGGCGGCCAGGACGCACAGGCTGAGGCAGCTCTTGCACCAGCAGGTGCCCAGCAGGCAGCAGGAGCAGCGCCAGCCCCGGGCCTCGGCCAGCCCATGCCCACCGCCGCCCGGCTCGGGCAGCTGGCAGAGCAGCAGCTCCGCGGGCGGCAGCCCGTCCTGTTCCGCGCAGGGCCCCAGCAGCAGCCCGCCGGCCCCCGCCGCCTCCGCCGGGACGAAGCCGATGGTGTTCCCGCTGCTGCCGCCGCCTCCCGCCGCCGTCCCGGCGGCTCGGGACAGCCAGCGGCCCAGGTCCTGCCGGGCGCCCTGCGCCGCCGCCTGCTTCACGGCCCGGGAGAGGAGCTGCAGCGCCGCGGCCCCCGCGCCCCGCATCCCCCCGCCCCGCCGCCCGGCTCCAGAGCCGCCGAGCCGCGCAGCCCCTTCGCTCCCCGCCTCCCCACGCAGCCTGCGGGCAGGGGCGGCCGTTCCCTCATCGCCCCGCCATGGCCCGGCTGCCGAGCCCGGTCGAGGGCTGGGCGGGGGCGGGGAAGCGGCGGCGGGGAGGGCGGGGAGGAGGGGGCCGCGCTTCGCCGCCGCCCGGCGGGCGGAGGGGCCGCGGCGGCCTCCGGGCCGCCTCCCGCCTCGGCCGCGCCGCCGGGGCTGCGGCGTTAGACGGCGGCGAGG